TTTCGAGGCCTTTTTACTAACTATAGGTTCTACATTTGTCTGTTGAGATGTAGGACTTTCTTTATTAACCTCTTTATCATGTTTTGAGGAATCTTTGTTATCTCCTGAAGTCTTCGAGGAAAAGTGCGCCGCATTATTCTTAAGCCGTAAATTAACAAACAAGAAAAGATCACTGTAATGTTTGCAGCCAATCTCTAGTGCCAGTAAATGACTTTTACAAATTGGCGCAAGGCTGTTCAACTGCTGCCGCCTCCTTAACGATAGCTTGCAAAAATTTAGGTTCACACTCAAGAATTGATTTTGAGTCACCACCTTAATCGCTCTAGATCTCAGATTGTTCTTTCGTTTGTTAATACTATTACGATTCCAAGGCGCAAGAATACGTTCATACGAAGCCGAAGCGCACGTGTTAATTTGATGCTGTTGTCGTTGAGAGAGGTTTCCATAAGAAACTTTTCTTCGTTCGTGGTCGAAGAGATACGAGAATGTATTGGTTGCATTTGAATTGCAAGAACCGGTTCGCCATAAATTTGTAGACGTCACAACAGGCGTAGTGGTCGATAGAACATTTGTTGCCTCGCATAATACATGGTTACTCGTGAAATATGACCTCGGATGGAATTTTTTAACAAAATTGTAATTTGTGATTTGATGTCTTTTATTATTGAAGGATCTAAGTCCGGTAAAAGCACAGGAAATTTGCATGAGGTTTCTTTCAGTTGTATCAACAAATGATTATATTGGCGTTAACAACGCATAATTGGATCTGTAGATCTTTTGTATAATGATAAAATACCAATTTTGGCTATCAATTTCGGACTTGTTTTCGAGTCTCGGCATAAGCTGCAGCTGATCTACGCCTGATTTGGGATGAATGGATAATGCATGAATATCTGTTGAGATCTTCAAAACACACTGGAAAAATGGCTCGCGAAACTCGAAGCGACATTGCAAATTTTAGACAAGCGCTCGTGGTCAGCATACGTTCTCTTCTCATAGTTTATATGCTAAAAAAAGAAATCGATAACTGTTTAGTTTGATTAATAGGCGGGTGGAATTGCAGGGACAGCTGTTGACACGGTACTTTTTCCCCTCGATACAATAAAAACTAGACTTCAATCAAGACCAGGATTCTATGCTTCTGGTGGTTTTCATGGCATATATTCGGGATTGACCAGTGTTATAATTGGCAGTGCGCCTGGAGGTATAAACTGGTCGTTCTCCTCGATTTTTCAAAATCAATAATAATCCTCTTCTCAACAAATAAATTACAATCCTCTCCCCCAACAAATAAATAAATTTCGTTATTTTTAGCATCCGTTTTTTTTGTCACTTATGAATATCTAAAAGGATCGCTTTCATTCCTCTTTCCTGACACGAAATACCTTCCTCTCGTCCATATGGCAGCTGCTTCTGGCGGTGAAATGGTATTTATTTATAATTGGTTATAATTATCATTCACGTGTGCAAAAAAAGAGATAAAAGTATCGATTAATAACTTGCAATTCTGCTCACAGACAAATTTCTAAAATTACTTGTTCGAAAATTTCTGTAAGGCCGCCTGCGTTGTTCGCGTACCAACCGAAGTAATTAAACAACGTATGCAAACCAAACAATACCATAGGACTCTGTCCGCCATTCGATCCATTATACAGTATGAAGGTATATTGGGCTTGTACCGTGGTTACTTGATTACGATATCTCGAGAGGTGAAAAATCAGCTATTTGATTATTATACTTTCTCGTTATTCACTCCTTTATAACTGGAAAACTTGGATTTTAGATACCATTTGCGTGCCTTCAATTTCCATTGTATGAATTCCTTAAAAGATTTGTTGCTAAACATACTGATCGAACTCGTATTAATCCCTGGGAAGCGGCAATATGCGGGTCAATATCAGGTGGTACTGCAGCTGCAATTACCACACCATTGGACGTAATAAAGACTCGTATCATGCTATCCTCAAAAGTATTCATTAGATTTTTTTTACGAAATAATTTTTTTTTTTAAAAAAAATTAACCCTGAACTAATTGTGTTTTATTATCGAATGTAATAGCATCAAACTATTCACAGGTATTCTGGAATCGTGGGTACCTTGAAACGCATTTGGTCTGAAGAAGGACCACGCGCATTATTTTCGGGAATTGGTCCACGAGTAATGTGGATTTCTATTGGTGGTTACATATTTTTGGGTGTCTATGAAAAAGTAAAAAAAGCACTTCAAGATAATAGGTTATTAATCTGATGATCCGATTTCATTTGTTTCGGGTGATTCTCCCAAGGACTCACTGTTATGGAAAGAAATAATTTTACAATTAAGAGTAGCTCCTGTTCAACAATAAATAAGTGATCCTTCTGCTATTCGCTTTGCGATTTTCGCACATAAGGATCAAAAAATCCAAGTTTTTCTTCTAATAAAGCTCGCGCATTTAGCGGAGCGGACTAAATGGTAGAGGTATCAATATTGCCGTTTCCATCATGTGAACCAATCGAACTATAAAGAGACAATAAAACTTTATCAATTTGCCTCAAGAAAATCTTGATATAATTTACTCGTAAATAATTACCAGTTTTATATACTGTATCGGCCCATCCATCAACTTGCCATGCTTGTTCACGAGTTGTTTTACGCGTTTCAAGATCACTAGAAAGATGGATTAATCACATGACTTAATACAAAATTGATTATCGCAAAAAAAAAAGATAAACTTACGGATAGTTCCACATATGATGAACATAATTGAGTACCCCTAACTGAGAGAACCAAGCTCCCACAGGTTCACAGAATTGACGACGACACTCTAATCCTTTATGCCTGCAATCGTAAATCGTAAATATAGCAAAAACGATCGAAAAATATAAGAGAAAAAGATATTATAGTCTATCAAATTACCAATAATTTTCCCATTCTAACAAATGACCTGGCTATAATAATTAGGTTTAAGTTAAAAATTTATAGAACATCCTTTGTCAAGATAATCGCATAATAATAATAATAATAAATAATAATAATTATAATTATAATTATACCTTCAAGCCATAGGATCTCAGTTCATAGACTCCACCACGAACAGCAGGTGGGCTAGTTGCCCAAAAAGCAAATTCAAGACATATTTGATTCGTGCGGTTCTGAATCATTGGCCTTATTTTCTTTTCAAAATCCTGATAAATCTAAGACAAAAACAATGATGCTTGTAAATAAAGGTCTCATATGATAATCGAGTAATATTCACCTGATCATTTTTCAATTGATTTTTGGTCTCCTGATAGCCGGTATATCCGTTGTATTCCCAGAGATGAACTGAATATGATACAATAGTTATGATATATTTTGCAAAAGATGAATTCGACTTTCAAACTCAAAATAACCGCTTACAAAAAGAATCGAGATCCCCAACTTCCGTTTGCCAGCTTCCGGAAAGATGCAATTGATTTGCGGGATCATTTGCTATTCGAGGATAGTGTTCCGAACTAAAAGAAAGAATTAGTGGTATATCCAAATTGTGTAAATTCTGATTGAAAAAAAGCCCTCACATTAATGCAATATAATCGTCGACATATTCCGGTTTTATTTTGTGTTCTAACAAGAACACGAAAAACACGAATGAATAAATACCAAACATGTTCTTTGTCCGTCAAATATACAAATAATACAAAAGAATACTCACTTACTAACTCATGCACATATTTTCCCCGGGCGACTAACTTCGAATGAGTTTGTCTCTCTTCTTCCTTGGCTCGTACGGAGCCGTGAAGAATGCTTTGAACTATGGCACTAGCCTTCGATTTTGGCTTCGTAGAGTTCACTTCAACCTGCTGTTGCTCTTCAGAAGCATTTGAAGCGCCAGAATTGAAGAAACTTTTTTTCGAATTATTTGGCTCCTTATCGGATTCTCCGCCTTTCTTGTCTTCGACAAAGGTAACCGAGCTGGAATTGAACGAGCGTGCAAAAGTGTAATAATTGCCATATTTCTTTATAACATTCTGAGTGGAATTCCCACGAATTAAGATATTATTATAACTATTTCTATACGCAAAAAAAGAGAATTTTCGGCCAAAATGTAAAGCGCTCATTGTGGCCAAAAAGAAATTCAATTGCTGCTTGGAAGTTTACGTATCATCGACAACGCAAAACGTTGTATCACGTAAAATTATCAAAATTAACTCTTTCCATACTTTCCATGACCAATTGAATCTAAGATCGCGTGACACTTTATAAATCGAATATGAATAAAGTGCATAATAAGCTAGACTTGAGATAATCCCTTTTTCTCCATAATAACCTCCTTTTTCACCTTTTTTTAAAGTCCGACGAATAGACGAAACACCACCTAACGTGCGAACTAATGCTTGCCAACTCGGAGAAATTTTTGCAAAGAAATGACCGGGATCGAAAAGTGAAATCAATGCAGGTGTCACCTGTGCCATCCTCTCAACCAAGAGCCCGGCCACTGACAATGTACTTGTCATCGCAAGATCAACTCTTATTTTCTACTACGGAAGCCAATAGTTCTTCAGTTTCTTTAGCAGTAACTGCGGACGGTGACGGTTCCTCTGTCAATTCCTTTCGCACCATGGAAACTTATGACCAAGAAAGTGTCGCCTCTGACACTGCCGTCGAATCTACAATCGAACCGGAAGGTGTAATTAAATATCTGTGTGACATTGACGTGAGTAAATGAACCTTCCTTTTTAAGGGAAAGACCCAAAATATTCACTGTTTCTGCCTTCTTTTCCATATAGGGAGGTCTTAACTTAATACTCGAACGTGTGAGACAAGACGCGCAGTCCTGTAAGGTATGTGATTCTCAAATAGAAATAACATTATTATCTCATGAATTACTCGTGGCTGATTAATTGAGCCCCTTTTTCGCAAAGGAAGCGGCACTATTTTTAAAGAAACGAGCTGCGATAGAGGAAGAATACGGACGAATGATGATTAAGCTGTCAAAGGGTATGCAAGAAAGTCATCAGCACAGTGTCAACAAACAAGGGTATTTGAAATTAACTTAATTCGTATATTCGTATGTTTCCGAATATTTTATAGGCTCTCCTATTTATATCAATTCTTAATATTATTTAGTACATATGGAGATAGCTGGATGAATATGATGCGACTTCATGAGGCGATTGGTGAAAATCGTGTAAAATTTGCGGCTTCTATAAGTGATATATCGGAAGAACTTACATCACATTTTAAAGATACAGAAAAGAGTCGGAAAAATGTTAGTACATGCGCTTAATATTAAAAATTAGTTTCAATCGATGGGATCCCTATTAAACATCCTTTAATAATTTTATAGTCGAAAGATGCGGGACTAAAATATGAAAGGAATATCCAAGAAGCTGAACAAGCCTTGGAAAAGGTTTTTATAAATATTTTTTGTTAATTTTAAGTTTCAAGAAAAAAATTCTAACTCTATTGAAACTTAGGCTAAGCTAAAATATGAAACACAAAGTGAAGAGTGGGAACGCAAAATACTGGAAAAAAGTGGAGATCTTGTTCCTGCGTCGAAGAGAACTCTGACAAAGTCAATATTCAATAATAAACCAAAATCGCCGAATCAGGTGAATTACTTTTATTTGGGGATCGTAACGATGCAAGACTTTTCAAACATTTGGTTAACTAACTTCTTTAAAGTTAGTCAAGATGGAGGAAGAGGCCAGTAAGAAAGCTGCACAGGCGAATGACAATTACAAATCACAATTATCGTATACAAATGCAACGCGACATGATTATTATAATGTTCATTTACCACGGATGATAATGGTGAGCACAGAATTTTATTTATGAGAAATAATACCTTTAGCCCACCCTCTACAATATTATTTAATTAATGCACTATATTATTAGGCACTCAAAGATACTGCTGATGAATGTGATGCAGCGCTTCAATATCATTTAGCACGGTACTCTTACCTCTTTGAGAATACTATGGTAAGCGACGCTTTGGTTATCAGCCCCGTAAATCCAGATGATGGTAATTATGCAAGAAAAACTCACGAAAATCAGTGCGCGATTTTTTCACATCACATTTAGATAATTTGATAATGTTGCAAATTATTAAATATTTTCTTGCTCCCCATTAATTATAGGTCTTTCATTACGTAAAATAGTCGAACAAATTGATAATGAAGCAGACTTTCAGTCATATGTGGTTGGATTTGGCGCTAAAGCTAGGAAGGTGGCGAGAAAAGATATTATATACGAAGAATACACCCTGGTAAGTTTTATGAATGAATTTTAAAATTATGATTCCCAACGATACTAAATTCAAAAAAAATAAATTGTGGAATTTTAGTCACCACAAGTTTTAGATATCATGAATCCACGAAGTATTTTTGGGGTTGATTTGGCTGAACAGATGGAACGTGATGGACATGACCTTCCATTAATATTGGTAAAATGTGCTGAAGCTATTGAACAACATGGTATTATCAATTAATATTATTTTTGCTTGCGCATCCCTATATGCTATTTTATTTATTAAATTTATGTTATCAACTTTACTTAGGACTTGAGAGTCAGGGTATTTATCGGTTAAATGGGGCGAATACACAAATTCAAAAGCTAAAAACACTATTTGATAGAAGTAAGATTAAATGATTAATTTTATATAAATTCTATCATATCAATAATTAATAACTTATGCTATTATAGATGCGGAAGCGGTAGATCTCAACACTGAAGAAATTTTATCAGATATCAATAGTATTACAGGTGTTCTGAAACTCTGGTTTAGAGAACTACCAGAACCTTTATTTCCCTACAACATGTATTATGAATTCATTAATGCAGCAAGTAAGCTGTTTTTTATGTTCGTTTTTTGTTTATTTTGCGATTTGATTCTTATTCATCCTCGTATATAATAAAAAAAAATAGAAATAGATGACCCGAAACGGCGTGTCATTGCACTTCATGAGCGAGTCAACTTACTTCCAGATGCCAATTATAGCACATTAAATTTTTTAATGGGACATTTGAACAAGTTCGTATACAATTCTTGATTGAGGTTTTTAATTAAAATGAATCTTATCAATTAACGATCTATTATGACTTAGAATTGTTGAGAAACAAGAAATCAACAAAATGACTGTTCAGAATCTTGGAATAGTATTTGGACCAACGTTACTTAACACACCAACTAATAGTCCCATTCCTTCAATATCTTCATCATCATCATTACCTATACTGTCTTCAAGCATCGTTGATAGTTCAGGTCTAAATGATATGGGCTGGCAATGTAAGGTGGTAGAGACAATTTTGGAAAATTATCGGGTTATTTTTGTTCAAGATTAGTAATTTATTTAAGCCTACATATAATTATTTTCGATCAATTCATTGGATATATCCATATCTTTGATATATATTGGATGGGTAAGCTATTAATGATATTCGGCAATGACAAATAACGATGACATCGAGAAACAAAACATTTGAGCCACGTTACTAATTATTAGTATGTGGGTTATTTAATCCATTGTATAGTGACAATTCATTTATTTTTGATTGATTTAGGTTTTTTGGTGTTGGGCAATAACTTAATGCGCAAGTACTATAATTTTTTATGACAATTTCCATGCATATATATAATATAATGTAAATTATCATTCAGAGCTTTTCATTAATGCATTTATAAATCCTTTTCATATTCTTGAGTAAATACATATTTTTTATAAATAAATCTAATAAAATGGTAGTTTTAAAATCAAACGATTTTTATTGTTTTTAATATAATTTGTTTATAATAGAATTAATCTGCTTTTTAATAGTGTAACAATTATATTAAGTCTTATAAAATACAATAATTTTTATTTATTAGTTATTTATTTTATTCAGAAATTTTTTTATATTAAACTAAAATTTTGTATTTAAATATAGAGAAACTAATAGAATTAGATCTTAAATTTAAAATTTTAATATATAAATTTTATTGAAATTATTATTAATAATTAAAATTCTTTTTTTTTCTAATATATTAAATTTTTTTAATATAATTTTCTATTTATATATAACAAAAATCTGATTATACTGAAAAAAATAAATGAAATAGATCATTTTATTATATTTAGATTTATTATATATTACTTGATATTATTAAAATATAAAATTTATAAATTAATTATTTAATTATTTGATTATAAATATAATTAACAAATATCTAATTTTATTTTCTTGAATATATTAATAACTTGTAAATAATAATTTTTTATCAAGATTAACTTTATAATTTAAATTAATAAATTATATTAATAAGAATATAATTATATTTATATTTTATTAATTAACTTATTTTTTTAGACTTTTTTAATTATCTTTATATCATTAAAATCTCTTATTTTTTTAATTTATTTTAATATTAATTAAATTATCAATAATAAAAATAGATTTAATAAAATTATTAGTTTATTCTTATTAAATTTTTTTATTAAATTTTTATTTTTATTTTTTTAATAAAATTTAAATAAATTTTTTTAGTTTACTTATTATAATTACAAAAATTATTTATTATTTTAAATTATTTTTTATATATTATTTTATAATAATTTCTTTTATAAAAAATTTTAATTTTCACTATATTTTATTAATAAATTTAATTTTTAAGTTATTATTTTTGATTATTACTATATATTTTTTAAAGATAAGATTTTTTAAATTATAAATATTAATTTTTAAAATTAAAAAGTTTATTTTAAGTAAAATATAATTAAATTTTTCTATAATTATATCTTTTATAGTCTTTTTTTTAAGTTTTTTAATTACTAATTATAAATTGATGCAAAAAAATTTGTATCTCAAATAAATATTA